GTCCTTTGATTGGAGTATTAACTCTATTTACATTTAAAGCAATTATTGATAGTTATGTAGTTATAGCCATTTATTTCTTCTGGTTGTTTTTGTGGTTCTCTGTTCTTTTTCTCTCTTGTACAACTTTCTATAAGGGATTGTTTGGATTTTTCTTTACTTTTTGTGTGTCTATTACAGGTTTTTGGTTTGTGGTTACCATGAGATTCATACATATCAAGCTATGTTGCTGTAATTATAGCAGACAATTTTAAGTTTACTGTCACTTAAGTTCAAACATTCTAAGAGCACTATAATTTTTACTCATTTCCTCCCCTTTACGTTTTTGTTATCATATTTTACATTTTGTGTGTGTGTGTCTTCCTTAATAATGTATTTACACATGCTCTTCTTACATTTTTATCTAACCTTTATACTAGCTTTATAATTGCTTGATTCATTACTTTTATTAAGTGTTGCCTTTATGAGTGAGATTTTTTTATTTCCTATATTTTCTAAGTTTTGAGTTTTCTTCCCTCATTTAAAAAAGTCCCTTTAAAATGTCTTGTAATACTGGTTTAATTGTGAGGAACTCCTTTGGTTTTGCTTGTCTGGAAAAGTCTTTATCTCGCCTTCAATTCTGGATGATCACCTTCTGGGGAGAGTGTTATTGCTTGTAGGTTTTCCCTTTTATCACTTTGAATATATTGTGCCAGTCTCTTCTAGCCTGCAAAGTTTCTGTTGAAAAATCAGCTGATAATTTTATGGGATCTCCCTTGTAGGTAATTAGATGCTTTTCTCCTACTACTTTAAGATTCTCTCTTTTTAACTTTAACTTTTGGCATTTTAATTATGATGTGTCTTGCTGTAGGATTCTTTGAGTTTATCTTCTTTGGGACTCTCTGTGCTTCCTGGACTTGTACGTCTATTTTCTTTGTCAGGATAGGGAAGTTTTTAGTTACTATTTCTTCAAATAGGTTTTCTAGCCCTTTCTCTCTTCTCCTTTTGGGACCCCTATGATGTATATGTTGGTACTCTTGATATTGTCCCAGGGGTCCCTTAAATATCTTCATTTAAAAAATTATATATTTTTGCTGTTCAGATTGGGTAATTTTCAATACCTGGGTTTCCAGATCTGATTTATTCTTCTCTGTCATCTACTCTGCTATTGATTCCTTCTAGTGTATTTTTAATTTCGGTTGTTGTAGTCTTTAGTTCTGATTAGTTTTTTTAAATTGTCTTTTTCTTTGTTGAAGTTCTTACTGAGTCATCTAGTCTCCTGAGTTTGTTGAGCATATATTTATTATTTTGAACTCTTTATCTGCTAGATTGCTTATCTCCATTTCATTTAATTATATATATATTTTTGAGTTTTGTCCATTTGGAATGTATTTCCTTCTCCTCATTTTGGCTGTCTTTCTATTACCATCCTCTCACCTCCCACTCCCCACCCCTACCCCCATGTATTGGGTAGTTCTGCTACATATCCTGGTCTTCAAAGAGTGGCCTTATGTAGAAGGTGTTCTGTGGGACCCAGTGGCACAGTGCCCCCTGGTTACTAGAGCCAGGGATATCCACTCTGTGGGTTGTGTGTGCCCTCTTGTTGTAGTTGGGTTATGATTTCTGTGGGCATGTCACTGGCTGTGGCTGATTCTCAGGCTGACTGACTGTGAGGAATGGCCATGACTAGAGCTGATGAGCTGTTGTGTGGGAGTTGGTCCCACAAAGCAGGAGTTGCTTTAGCAGGGATCTGGTGTCAGCTGAGGCCACTTTCAGGTGTGTAGGTTGTGGAGCTGCTTGAATTGGGCTCTAGTGAAGGCCAAAGCAACACATTGATTGTGTTGGGCTTTGGACCATTTGATGGGAGCTATGATGCAAGCTGAGGCTGGCTACCACTCATGCCAGACTTGGGGCCACTTGGTTGAAACAACATTGTGAACTGAGGCTGGCTGCCTCTTGTGCCAGGCTCGGGGCTACTTATTAAGAGCTTCAGTGTGAGTTGAGGCCAGTTTCACTTGTGCTGGGCTTGGGGCTATTTGGTAGGAGCTGCAATGTGAGCCAAGTCTGGCTGCTGCTTGTGCCAAGCTTGAGGGCCTTTGGGAGACTGCAGTGTGAGCTGAGGTTGACCACCACTTGAGCTGAAGCTGAGGGCATCTGGGAGAGACTGAGGTGCACTCTGTGGCTGACTACCATTTGTGTGGAGAGTCTGGAGCCACTGGAATTGGCTCTGTCCAGGGCAAGTAGGTTGGGTGATGTGGGTCTCAGGAAAACGTTGGGATAGGGTGAATGGTTATAGCCAGTTTAATGGAGAGCAACAGATTTTATGTCTGCCTGCACTGGGCCAGCTAGGAGACTGAAGAGCTCAGTGAAGGAAAAATGGATCCTGCCAATGCTCTGTCCCAAGAGAGTTGTCACTGATCACTGTCCCTCCAGCCCTTGCCCTGGAGTTAGTCAATTTAGTTCTTCACCATATGATCCAAGCACTTTCTGGAATTGCTGCCTCTGTGTTAGTTTGCAGCAAGTGATTTTTTGCACAAACCGTTTAAGAACAACATCTTAATCTCACTGCTTTAAACTTTCTAGGAAATAATCCCCGCTGGTATTCTAAGGCACATGTTATTAGTGCTCCTCTTCTTGGCACAGGTGCTCTGGGCTGGGGAGCCTGGTCTGGGGCACGGACCCCTTGTTCCTCAGTGGGGACCTCTGCAGCTGAGATATCCCTCCCATTTATTATTCACTATGGGTGTGGGACCTGCACTGAGTCTCTGCTCCTCCTATCCATCTCGTTGTGGCTTCTTTATATCCCTAGTTATAGGAATTCTGTTCAGCTATTCTTCAGGTGGTCATCAGGTTGTTTTGTAATTAATTGTCATTTTGATGTGTTCGTGTGAGGAGGTGTGTTCAGAATTTGCTACACCACTATCTGACCAGAGCCTGCACTAACATTATATTGTCATGGTAATCTGTGAGTAGTAATCTTTTCAGTGGACGTTTGTCATAGCTGCTTTATAAAGAATTAAGTATTCTGTTAGCTTCTCAAATTACTAAAATCAGGTTCAAGCTTTACCAAATAAATTTTTAAATCTCCTAGCCTTTGCTCTATGAATATGATTTTTTAAAAATAATTTTTGCTCCTCATCCAGTGAACAAAAAATAAAACACTAAGGCTTCTGTTGTAACCATATTGGTGAGTAGCCTTATATCTCTTCTCGTCTATGGGTAAAGAAAGCAGATCAAAGAAAAGATGTTGTTCCATACAGGTAGCTAGTGGCAGAGCTGAAACCAGAACTCAGGACGGTTTCCACTCCTCGTTACTTAATTTTTATTTATTTGAAACATTTTCTTTGTACTATGTGCTGAGTTTAATATTAGGAGCTTGGGACAAACATAGATATGCTTCCTCTACTAAAGAAGTTCAGTCTGGTTGGGGCCATTTATGAAGTGAAGTAATTGTAAAACCACATGTTAAGTATTATGATATCGGTACTATGTGAAACATAAAAGATACCATGCTCGACTAAATCTGTGGTATAAGATAATAAAAAACTTCATAGAGGCAATGCATGAACTGGCTGTAAAGAAGAATTGGCCAGGCTTGAAAAGGGAAATGTAATATTCGGAAGGACTAGCATGTACAAAGACATAGTACACATTTGCATAATTGCAAGCTCAGCAGAAATGAAGAGGCTGGACTGAGAAGTAAGTATAAACAGGAATGCAGACAAGGGATCCCTTCCATGAAAAGCCATAAAGGGTTTTAAATGGAGGAGTATCACTGGATTGAATTTCAGAAACTTCATTCTGTCTTGCACTAGAGCCATGAAGGTCAGTTAGAGGCTAAATTCTAGGGAGTCATAATTCAGATCCAAAAGAGGGTAGTGACAGTAGAGATAAAAAATAAGCACAAATAGATAATAATACTGCCCAAAATCAAACAAAAGAAAGACATGAAGAGGCATGAAAATTAAATTTCCCTTAGCCTGTTGCCTAATTGTCATTAGACATGGCAGTTCTTGCTAGGCACACCCTGATTCCTCTGAGTATTTTCAGTTATTGTCATCTCTCACTTCCAGCAAGTGATTCTTAATCTTATGATCCCTAGGCGTGCACTGTCCTACTCCTTTTGGCACCAACATACCCTCCCTGGTCTCTTGTGTTCCTGAGGCCTCGCTACTTCTTGCTTTTGCCTAAATAACAGCGCTTTATCATGTGTGCTATTCCTCGTTTAAAAACTTTACCTTTGAAGTTCTTTAAAAAAAACCTTGTTCCTCATTTAGGCTGAAAATGCTGTTTGACCTTATCACTTCTCAAACTTTCCAGATGAATATATCACACCCTGTTTTCCTCCCATAGTCCTAGAAGACGCATAATGGTTGTTGAAAAGATTAAATGCTTTAATACTAAGTTCTCTGAATATAGTCAGGGCCCAGTAAAAGTTCTTAAACATATAAGCACATAATTCCATTACAATGTGATAATGTACAGCACTGTATTGGAATTCCTAATGTGTATCTCTCATTGCATGTGCTTTGAGGGTATAATTATAACTATGCATGGGATTTTGCATGTACCGATTACTTTCACAACATTCTGCCATGGTTCTTGATATAAAAGTAGTTATTCACATTGTTTTTATCTTCATTGTTCTCTCCCCACTATATACTGGCCAGTAGCAAATGATTAGGAAACTCAAAAATTTAGAGAACAGATGTTACTGTTGATTAGGAATTACCAATTATATTGTATGTCATCTTTCAGTCTTTCCCAGATATGGTATTTCTTATTTAGAATCTTGATATAACTTTGACTTTCAGTTCTAAGACATAGGAGTAGCTTACCTATGCAAAAATCTTAAAATGGTATGGTTTTGGTATTTAATAACTAAATCTCTTGAGATGGGTACTTTGTATTACTCTGTCTAGTTAGCCGTTAAATGTCTTTTGCTTAACACAAAGAAGCAAAATTGCAATGGAAATACTCTGAAAGATGTTTGTGTTCATTTAAAATAAAATACCAACTCTGCATTTAGTTAACATTCATTTTATAAAATACCTTAAAAGAACAGATAAAGTACTTGAGTTTACATAATAACCATAATTGAAAAAGGATGAATAAAATATAAATTAATTGACCACATAACTATTTTGCCACATTAGACAAGTTTTAAAAAGGCATTTAAAAAATAAAAATAGTAATGGGGAAGAAAACCCTTCACTCTACTGCTGTCTTTTTCTGGAAACTTTTGCTAGAAGCGCTAAAATCCAGGTTAACAGGCAGTACCTGTATTGTGGAAAACATACTGTAATTTGCTTCCAAATCTGTCAGCTTAAGAGAAATAATTAAAATTGTAACCAGGTTAGATAATTCAGTGCAAATTTAAGCTTCAAGTCGAAAATGTGAGAGGAAAAATAATGTCTGAACTGTAAGAAATGCTTCTGGAACTGAAAAAGAAAAAATTCACATTATGAGAAATCTTTGCAAGTATTCTTGTCTGAAATGTTAACAAATGGGCCCTCTGAAGTTGTAATTAGGGCTCTATTATTAAGGCTATTTGCAATGTGCACAATGGGAAATGGATAGGGAAAGGCTAAAGGTCATCTTTGTGGAAGGAAGTTCAAATTAACCATAAGCACTAGTCCAATTCAATTCCAGAAGATTTGGCTAGGATATCATAGACATCAAGGGGGGGAAATGTTTATGGAGATTAATTTACTTGACTATCATTGAAGATAAGTACTTCCACCCCCAGGACTTGTAGGGGATGGGAGAGAGCAGGTTAATGTTGACCGTGATTTTTTTTTTTAATTATTAGGGGTTATATAGCGTACTGGCTTAAAAAATCATCATATTGCCAAGTCTTGAGAGATGGGAGGAATGTCTAACTTTTTGGATCACAGTGAAACCAAGTCTGGATCATTTCCACCATTAATGGACAGTCACTTTTATAATTAAAAATATTTTAGTTATTTTCTCAAAAAATTTTTCTTTAATAAGCCATAGGTAATAAGTAGCAATGGGTTTTTCATAAGTGTTTGATAGAAATTCCCTCTTTCCATTTCATTCTGTACAAGTTTTTGATTCATTCTTTTTAACGATAAAAATAATGGCTGCAATTGAGTAAAAGATATAAAGAGATTTTTGTGGAGGCTAGTAAGTTTTCTTTGCAAAATAGATTTAAAAAACTTTTTTTAGGTCTAAATTTACTATGTTGTCATCAGTCTCTAAATCTCACTGGAAATTTTCACACATTTTTTGAAAACTGTGAATGTACTGTTTTCTAACACTTGTATTTTACATCATTCTCTAATCTATTAAGACTGTCATAACACTGTTATCGCCATGGAGTGGCAACTTGTTTTTTAGACTGTACCTGTGATCAGCAAGTCATAAAAAAGCCAAAATATACAGTGCTTTTCCAACATGACATCAGAAACTGGTAACTCAAGTGAAATACCATGATGACATAACATGTTCATAGAGCAATGGAGAGTTAGCTGACATGATTTTTAAAAGTGTGAAAAACTGTACTCATATAAGGCAATTTAAAATTTCCCTTCCAGGGACATTGACCAGCTCAATCACCTGAAGAAACTATCCAATACCTGTGACTCAAGTACCTCATATCACTATAGTGAAACTGTCACGTAAGGGCACATGTCACTTTGCAAAGGAACGCATTCGTTCCCTTCTCAGGTCAACTTAGCAACTACACAAGTCTTGAACAGCATTACTTTCCAAGGGATCAGCTAGATGTTTGGTCATGTCTTTTCCAGTTCCGAAGAAAGGCTCACGATCAGATGTTTCTTTTTACATCACACTGTATGTGAAGTTAAGAAAGGAGTGGCAGAAACATGTACAACCCTGCAATTAGTTCACATTTAGAACAGCTTCTGTGGGTTCAAACATTTTACACAGACTTGGTTTTGTCTCATTTCTCTACTAACTTCTCATTAGGAAAGAAAAGAAAAAAAAATTGCCTGAAAATTCTGAAGCTTTGGTGAAAACCTTCCAGGCTTTGTCCATCAGAGACTTTTACCATCAAAAGCACAGATAAAGAATAACAAAACATTATAGTGAAATCAGCTCGTGACAGTTTGTGCTTTAGAAACAGCGCTGAGCACATCACAGATGCTCAATAAATATTTGTAGATTTATTAAAAGTATTAACACAGTTTCTGAAGAACCAACCTCCATTTTGCAAAAGCGGCAAAACTATATAAATTTATTTCACCTAACTAGATGGAACTATGTGAAGTAATCAGAGAATCTAAAAATTAAATATGAACTGTAATTTGATTGCAGAGAGGAAATTAATAATTTTGCAAAAACAAACATTGCCACAGTAGCATTAGCACTTAACAGTGCATCAAAGATTTAATGTTTCCACTGCAATATGAACTGGTTCCTAAACCTGTTAGATACCAGAGAATAATCACTCAAATAGGAAATGAACTCTATTCTACTTTGGGAGAGGTATAACCATAATTTTATCTGGAAATGATTAATATATTTCAGGGAGATAGGCCTCTTATTCAGCATGCCTCAAAGTAATGCAGGCATACATATCAAGGGACCTTATAATATAACTTCAAAACGGCATTGTCACGTGCAAGTATATTTCTCCCACATCTGCAGTAGTTGTTTTCTAATATTTTAGGCTTTTACAGAGTCGTGACACCCCTGGGATGACAAAGATGAGAATATGCAAGACTAAAGATCCCCAAACTTACACTAAAAAGGGAAGCTTCTCTATACTATATGAAAACCCCTTATAAAAGGCAGCTCACTGACAAAAAAAAAAAAAAAAATGCTTTATACATTCAGATTCTCCGCATCTCTCAACAGTGATGGTTTCCAAAAAAAGACTCAGTAGTGAAGGCCACACTTTTTTTTTTTTTTTTTTGCATTAGTTTGATACACTGAAAATCAGAACCTTTAAAGCATCTTGTAAATGGGAGAAATGGAATTGGACCTGGGCAGTGGGGTGGGTGGTGTGATGGGAGAGATCAAAATGAATATGTGATTTAACTGCTGATGTGGACAGCAAGGGAGTTGGTGGGAAATGTTACAGCAGACCTCACTGCTCTACAAAAGGTCCGTCAAGAACACAGTACAGGTATCAAAAACAGAACAAAAAACCCAAAACAAAACTAAAACTGCAACTTCGCCAACTTGTAAACAAGGAAAAGCATTTCACAGATTCAAAGTTCAAGGGAAGTAAACGTCTTTAAATTATTTTTGTCAGTTCAACCCTGATTTAAAAGTATGGCTAGCAAAAATAAGGAAGCTGCAGCCGTTGACATCCTGAGCAAGCAGCTGTCTTCTGAGAAGCAGCATTTCCAAGCCTCTCTTCTCAAGATGCCAAGTGAGAAGGACACCTTCTCTCTTGAATTCCACCGCATTCCTCTCCTTTCCATACTCCTGGAATATTCGTCGACTGCTTTACATTTGGGTGTTTACACTCCTGGCTGCTATAGATTCAGACGAGGGGAGACTGGAGGGGGTAAGGCAAATTCTCGGAGGATACTACGGGCCACTTCAACATTATTCTGGGCTATTTCTAAGGCTCTCTTCACCTCTTCAAAGGCATAACCCTCTCCCATTAGTTTTGCAATTTTTGCATCGACATTTTCCAATGCTGCCTCCGGCCCATGGGGTTTTCTGTGGTGAATTTCTGGTGCAGTCCTACGGGGTCGTGGTTTAGGAGGTCTGGCTGGTGCTTGTGAACCATCTGTGAAGATTTTAAAGAGAAATATCATTTAAATAATAAGATAAAAACAAACAAATAGCATTAGTATGATATCATTATTTTATATGAAAACCTATTTTTCATTATCTCTACAAATAAACATTTTTTCCCATTTTTATGTACTTCTGTATGGTACGTTATATTGTCCCCATTTTGAAGATCAGAAAACTGATACAAAGTATTGGAAATTTGAGAAATTAACAAATTTATTCCACACATTAATCTTCAAGCCATACAAAAAAAATTAGAGCTACAGAATTAAAAAATAAAAATTGAGGAAGAAAGGTTTTCACTTTGGCAATACAGCGCATGCTTATCTACTATGGTGGAGGAACTTTCTTGGGAAGTTACTATGAGGGGAAACTATTTACAAGCTCGTAGATATTCCTGGCAGAATACCCTCGACCAGGTCCTCCATCCCAGTCACATCACAGCCCAACTGCTTTGAGGAACAAGCTTCGCAGTATCTCAGCCTGCCTGGTTTTTCAAGTTAATAATGTGTAAAGGGATGTCTTACTGATCCCAGGAGGGAAAAGAAAAAGAAATAATAGATGCTTCAAGTCTACTGTTAGTCAACAGGTTGAACAGAAGTGCTTTGCTCAAATACTTTATCCAGATTCCATACAGGAAGTTATACTTGAGAAAAAGCAAAGCCAGAAGAAACATTAGCAGGGACCAAATGGGTTCCGTATCAGCCCCCTGATGATAATAGTTTCTCAAAGTTAAAACAAATGACATTGGTGCCCATGAGTGGAAAGTAATTTTGTTATGAGAAAATTATAGGCTACCACCCCATCCAGATCACCAGGGTATGGGCTAGTAACTGGAGAGGGCACTTTTATCATGGATGTCCATGTATCTATATTTGGTACTGTAATTCAGAAGTCTAGATCTTTAAAAAAAAAAAAAAAAAAAGGTTAAAATAAAAATTTGTCAAATTTATCCCATGAAATATATATGGATTTAAGGCTGTAGACATCAACATTTCTTTCTCATTAGACCACACACAAATGCCAAATGATAAAGCCAAGGACACAGTTAGGTAAATGCAGAAGGTGAGGCTAGAACCCAAAGGCCTCCTGACTCCTGTCCCCATCCTGTCCCCGCTGGTCTCTGCTGCCTTGCCAAATTTCCCAATGGTTTCAAGAGATATTGTAAATAGATATTTTCAATAATCAAATCTAAATTAAAAAAAAATCTGATTATCTGATACATTTCATATTTTTCTAAATGATACTTTTCTACAAGAAGGTAATTTGTAAAAAAAAAAAAAAAAATCATCCTTTTCACAATTTTAGCAATATCAATATACGTAAAATTGTCCAGGATGAAAATATTTGGTTCCATACCCAATTGGATAGTAGTCTTATTTTTAATTTTTTCTTTCTTATAGTTTGAAAAAATATTATAGTGGTAGATAAAGCTTATTAAATTATGCTCATATACAAGAACCCATTAATTTCTGATTCTTGCTAAGTCTGTATCTCTTGTATTTGTAACTAAACATTTCAAATTATTATGGTCTGCTAAATTGCATTTTCCCTGTTATTTTTCTATTAAGTATTTCCATTATGTCATGCAAAGATGGACCATAAATTATACTTTGCTTCTAATCATTTCCAAAAAACTATTAGAAGTTCTAGCAAGCTTTCCCTTAATTACCATAGAATTTTAATACACTGAAATCTCGTCTCTTCTGATTTAAGTGAGAAAAGTACCTAGACTTAAGTCTAAATTCCTTGTATTTTGCTGGTAATTTTCTAAGTTTTTCTAATATTGTCATTTTGTTTTCTGTCCAAAATACTGAGAAGGGCACATGAATATCAAGCATCTGTGAAAATAACAGCAACATATATGTTTACTACTGAAGTGGAAGGTTACTACAGCAGCCAGAGAAACATCAAATAGTATAATTGGCGATGAAGACTTAAGATTTAGAACTTTTAGATTTAATAAACATGTATCTTTGATCTTGGTAGATGATCTTAAAAAAGATGGCACCTATTAAAAACTCCAAGAAACCTATCCACTCTCTGAGGCTGCTATAATTAATACCCGCAAAATACAATGGAGATTAGATGACTAATTCTATTTGTGAGAAAGCTATTCTTTGCCTGGAAAGAAATTAGTAAACATAATTTAGGAAACCTGTGAGCAAGGAAAAACATACACACATACACACACAGTACAATTAAATCAAAACTCGAGTGGTAAAGGTGTCACTCTCATTTTAGAACACGTATTTTTTTGTACACAAAAAAATATTTGAAATACCAAGTAAAGAAAATGATTCAAACCTCTGGAAAGAATCATGAAAGATTTTGAAGACATTTTCATAAAAACAAAACAAAACGAAAACCTTCTTGGTGCCTAGATTTATTTTTTCAATAGATTTCCCCTTTAAATTCAAAACTCAAAGATCCCAGCTCATTTAACCCTAATCCTCATTGGCCTAACTCAAAATCTGTTTTTCCTAAACAGTGCTAACATCTCTTGAGAATCTTAGGAGTGCTCAGAAGTTGAACTGTATCATATATTAGAGCCTACAAATGAAAGCAAAATGGAATCGATGTTGCAACTTTTCGCCACCTATTGTATATAAATTTTTAATTATCACTGAATATTCAACTTGGATATCTCAACATTTTGTTCAACTATTTTGGTCAGATGCATTTCAGTTTGGCTACTAAGATTTTGACTGACCTTGAGCTAGGCAACATCTAGAGTTTTCACTCTCCAAATCTACTTTTTTATCTTTATTTTTAGAGGTGGTATTCCCATCTCAGGTACTATGCAAATTTATGTATTGTTCAGTATATGTGCTGAGAAGACCATTAAAAAGACAGTAAATTCACATATTAACTGCTATACTCAAAACAACAATTATTTTGAGAGAATGTCAGAGAAGCGTGGAAGAAGGAAAAAAATGGAATTTACTGTGCGTGCCAATTCTGTAGAAAGCATTTAAGCAAGATATCACAAGCAAGATGTTAAAATGTGAATAGTGAAGCTGTTAAAAAAAAAAAAAAAAGCAAACACTTTCATGCTGATCATTAGAGCGAATCGCTTAAAATCAATCCCTCTTTCTACACATCTTTTCTCAAAGCTTGTAAGACAGCCTTCACTGTCCCCAGTTGTTCTTTTTCAGTGTCTAAAAGTAGGAGACACCAGATCTTTACTCACTTTAGGACGTGTGGGTAATAGAGCAATACAGCAGAACATGAAACTATCTCATAGTTTCCCCAAAGTTATTATATTGTAGTTTTGGAGTACACTGGCACGACTAGAATTTTATCTACTCTATGGGCATTTCTGTACCTGAATAAATGTCATCCTTAAAAACACTGGAAGGGCACATGTTTGTTCTAGTATTTTTAAACTCCTATGGCAGCGATATCAAAATAAGTGCAAGTGTACATGGATATAAATAGCATTTTCCTGGAGCACCAATTTTACTCGAGGATGTGAAGAATGTTAATATTTTTAAATATTAAAATGAATACAGATAAGCTAAGGAATAAAATGAAAAACGTGCATAAATTTTTGAGATTAAACAGACATTGAAGCAATTTCCTATGTGTGATTATCCACTTTTAGTTAAAGCTTAAGTCGCTGTGCTCAGGGTTGATGCTGGTGTGGAGAAAGACTTGAGAAGCACTGGTTTAAGGGTAAATCTTGATTCAATTTTCATTTTCTGAGCCAATTAAAGAGCAGAGACATAAAGAAAAAGTCCTGAATGGCACAGGAATAAGCCTGATAAAAAGACAGTTGGAATAATACCTGGAATACATTCTAAATGAGGGCATTATCATTCCTAACAGGGTAAAAATTGGTCCTTAAGGGGCCGAGAACATCTTAAATGTTAACACATCTACTTCAGTGTCTACCAGCTATTTTACTACAAGAGGTCCTTATTACTTCATTATCTAAACTTTGGTGGATTTTTTAGTGGTTACTAGAAGGTAAGGGGAAGCGGGGAGGTAGATGGAGTAAAAGGGGTCAAATATGTGGTGACAGAAAGAAATCTAACTATGGGAGGTGAACACACAGTGTAAATATATATATGCTTTACTGTTAAAATGTACAGCTGAAACATTGGATTTTGTTAACCAATGTCACCATAAAAAATTATTAAAAAAATAAACTTTGGCAGGTTTTTTTTAGTCCATATTTTGAAAGACATCTAATAAGCAAATGTTAGCATTTTGATGAATACATCTTCCTACTTTTTATTTGTTATACTGACTTAACAACAACTACAAAACCAAGTTTCTATATTTCTAGACAAAAGCAAAGACATTTAATGTGTTAGTTTTCTTGTAAATAGGCTTTTAAAATATTAGTGTTTGACAATACATAAAAATAATGATCGATCATACCATAATTTAAAATGACATTTACTTAAAAAATTTAATGATGTGGTAAGGTACTTATGATACTATGTTAAATGGAATTGCGATAGAATTGACATGCTGAAGAAAACACATTAGAAAGAAGTACTCTAAAATGGCAATAATGTTCTGTATTGACGATAAGGTTATAGGTGAATTCTTTTTTTTTTCCATTCTATTTTATTCTCCAGTACGTATGTATGTATGTACTTCTTTTATAATTAGAAAAAAAAAAAATACACT